TTAGGACCAAAACACCCTTAGAATCGAGATCGATCGAAATTCCGCCAGAAACAGATATCCTCTGAGGTTGTTGCAAAAGAATGTCTTCTGTCAATTGTGTTTGGTTTTGGCGTCACAAATTGTTGAGGTAAGGAAACAGGTTGTTGAGGCTCCTCATACGATGATATGGAAGTTGCATCAGTTTCAAAAGTGGCTCCAGCCCATGGTTGTTGGCGGACTCTTGGATCTTTGAGCAATTGTGGTACAGATAGAAAAATAATAGAATTGACATTGTACCATTGCATGTATTCTATTGTGTGAAATAATGTGTCTTGCATTGAATGACCCACTAATGTCAATTGACGTCTATTATTCCATATATCAATCTAGTGAGCATGTTTTGTTATCCAATTTTCGTCATGTCTTCCCCTCATATCAATGTTGTGTAGGTCATCCAAATTATTTGGTGGAGAAGGGATTTCTTGGAATAAACCAAATTGTAACTTCACTCTATCATATTGGTGTCATTCAACAATTGCAAAATAAATGATGGTTGTACATGTAGTCCACAATTGGGCATCCCTAAATGCCTGAACTGGGATTGATCTTTGCAAGTCCTTATATGGGGTCCACAAAAACTTCCACCAAAAAATAATTTTTGTTATTAAAACAAACCAAAATTAAAAAAATGAATTAATAATTTTAAAAGAAGATTTACCTGATCAATTTGAATGTGATCAAACATAGTTCTATACCCAACAACATCATTGTGAGGTACATTTCTAAAGTTTAACACTCTACCTCCGCTCCATTTGCAGACCAATGGGTATGTTGGTGGAAGTCTAGAAATTGGAGCAATATATGGCATGCGATGCGATGCGATGCCCAAGATTGTAAAAGTGATGCACAACCACTCATTGTTTTGGCCTTTACATCCGTTGCTCTACACATTTCCCTGTACAACACAGCTAAACAAGCAGATCCCCAACTATAACGCCTAAAACTTTTAAGATTAGTTAATAAAGTTAAATACATAAGATGAACCTTATTTCCTATTTTGTTAGGCATCAAAATACCTCCAATTAAACCTAATACATATGCTCTACAATGGGCATGAAGTTGTTCTTCTGATGGTTCTTCTGGGAGTTGTAAAATATTTTTCCTAATTCACTTTAGTTTGATCATAGAGCCAATTAGTGACTCTCCTTTGACTGACATAATGCCCAAATATGTTTCACACATTTCGTCTCAATCTAACATTGTTGGGCCAATGACTGGTAATCCATCAACTCTTAACCCGAGTTGAGGTGCAACATCCTCTAACGTTATGGTGCATTCTCCTATTGGAAAATGGAATGTGTGAGTTTCAGGTCTCCACCTTTCTACCAGAGCTGTTACCAAAGCATGATCAACCTTTAGATGTCTTAGCTTTGCTACTGGAGCAAAACCTACTTGTTCTAGTAATGGAACAATTAGAGGGTGAGGTTCTGGCATTGAGTGACAATATGATGATATAATATTTTCAGTCTCCTACAATTATTAACGAATTAGGCACAACATTTGTTCATATACAAATAAAGTATAAATAAATAAGGATGATATGTTAAACTTACCGTCCTACCAATGAAGTTAGCTCTGTGTTCATTTTGCTTTGATAATAACATTTTGACTGACTGATATTGTAAGTATGTGATAGATTAAACAAAGTCATACCATCTATATTTATAGGAAACCTTAACATTGATTGGGTGAAAAGAAAGTGTGGTAGTCATGAAGTGTGCCTGACAAGTCACACTCACTCGATTTACGTGCTCCTCAGAAGGTATTTTTTTTTGTTGAGAAGTGAAAGTGTGAGAGTGATGAGGTGTGTCTAACAAGTCATACTCACTCGATTTACGTACTCCTCAGAAGACATCTTTTTTTGTTAGGAGAAGTGAAAGTGTGAGAGTTGTGAAGTGTGAGACATCTTTATTTAACGTCTTTAATGTCAACTCTAAACCTTAAACTAATCTAATCAACATGAATAATGCTTACTCTTTATCACTCTAATATAGACTGTGACACATCAATACTGTTTAGTCACAATCACCAACAAAACTTTTTGACAAATTTTCTCATCACTTTAATAAAGACTGTGGCACATCAATAATGTTTAGTCACAATCACCAACCTAGCTTTTTCACTATTTTTATCATCACTCTGATACAAACTATAACACATCAATACTGCTTAGTCTTCATTCATGCAAAAAAATTTGACCACTTTTATCATCACTCTGATAAGGATTGTGACATATTAACAATGCTTAGGAAAACGAATAATGAATCTCAATTGTTCAATTAAATAACCTAAATCTCCACCATCCACATTTTCTATTCACCTTTCCTATCATTTGTCTATAAATAACATACATTACATCTTTCAACAAATGCACTACAACTACGAAATATAAAAATTCTCATTATCATTCTCATTCTCTAAAATCTTCAGATGGAAGAGTTTGGCATCACCAATAGTCAACATTTCACAAATTCTTACCTAGCTGTTTTCTTTGCCAATGGTGAAATTGTACACAACAAACAAGGTGTAAGCTTCCATGGTCCATTGCCTAATTTATTTCGAATGCCATACCAGTGTACCTTCATGGAGCTGAAACAAAAAATATGTACTATTCTAGCTCTTTCTCATGAGACAACATTCAGAAAGCTGTATTATTGTAAACCAAATCTGAACGGTGAGAATTTACTAACATATGATATCATTCCTATATTAACTGATGTTCATGTAGCGCAAATGCTTGCTTGGAAGTTTCAATTTTCTATAGATACAGTAATTGAACTTAATGTCATATTGGTCAGAACACCGGAATAAATTATCATGCTTCTAAACCTAGGGATGGCAAAATGAGTCAGCCCACCCCGTTTTGGCCCGCCCCGCCTTTGACCCGTCAAAAGCGAGACGGGGCGGACTGACCCAATATAGTCATGATGGGCTGTAGACCTTGGTCTGCCCCGCCAAGGGCGGGTTGGCGGGCTGATCCGTCATAATTAAGAAAAAAATAATTTTTTTAAATAATTTTTTTTTAATAAATTTAATAATAAAATTATTATTTGTTTGTCAATAATTCAATATATATATATATATATATATATATATTATTTCAATTTAATAATATAAATCAATACATTATTTTAAGAAATTATAATTTAGAACAATAATAAAATTTACATAATAATAAATAATAAATAATAACAAATATATATATATATAACGTTAAACTTATAAAATTTATATTTTTTATATTGAAAAATTCAAATACCTATATCTTTTTTTTTATAAAACTTCATATTATTCTTGGTTGAGTAATTCTTAGACCTTTAATTCAAGTAATAAGGATAAAAATAATCAGTGCTTAGGATAAACAAGGAGAACAGGAGAGAAGGTTATGTTTCGAGTAAAGAGAATATTTTACGTGAGAATGAAACTTTTTTAATTCTCTTTTTAAAATTTTTAACTTTATATATTATCTTTATAATTAATTTTATTATAATAAAAAATTATTTTTTATTAATTAGGCGGGCCGCGGCTGGCCCGCCCGTCCCGTGGGTTGGCTCGATGGGTTGGCGGGCTTGGCGGGACGGGCCAAAGTGGGCTGGTGGGCTGAAAACACCAACCCGCCCCGCCATATTATGGCGGGCTGCCGCTGGGCCTAGCCTGTTTTGTCATCCCTATCTAAACCCACCTCCCACAACCTTTTCATCAAACAATCAACCCATTACTTCTACAAAAGTCATACTTTATTTCGGCGGATCTCTCCAACATGCTACCATCAAGGAATCTTCAAACGGTTTTGGACTTATTTACACAAGCTTTTATCCAAGGACAATGGTAGTTGAACACAATTGGTCTTTCAACCAATTTTTTCAAAGAATTAGTGAAATACTGGATTATGAAGACCATAAACAAATAACAAAAATTAACTATCGACGTCCAATCCAAGTTATCAACAGTAAACTATTTCACGACTCTATAGAAATCAAAACTGATTCTGATGTGCAACAAATGATTAGAAGATGAAAAAAGTATAAAACAATACATAGAAACGTGCAACGTGACCAAACATGGAGAAATATTGAATTATTTATTGAAACTATTGATCTGCACTATGCAATTTTCATTTATGTCATTTCAATTTCTATGAATGTCTTTTATAATTAATCATTTTTCAATTACAAGGTATGTTTTATCATTTATTTCTATTTCAATAAGTTTATTTTTCTTTAATATCATGTTCTATAATTTTTATTTTGCTACTAATATCTTATTTTTAATTTTACTTTTAATATTTTATATATTAAATTTATCAATTTTTTCTAAAATTATAACTTAAATAATTCATATAATTAAAAAAATATATAAATTTTAATTTTTATATTCAAAAATAAATATATATATATATATATATATATATAAATATAATAAAAAATTATTATTTAATATTTTTAATAATTATTTAAATATATTTAGATAATTTAATATATATTTAAATAATATATTATTTTTATTATTTTATATATAAATATTATTTAAATTTTAAATTTTAAATTTTATTTTAATATTAATTTTATTATTTTAATATAATTTTTTTATTTTTAATTATATATTTTATTAAAAAAATGATAATTTTAAAGTTGAAATTCAATTTACAATAAATCGAATTACAATTAGAGGTTCATTTAAGTATATATATATTATAATAATATTATATAGTCAAAAAGTCGTTAGAATGTAGAGTTTCTGATCGTTTTGGAAACAGAAACAGAAACTATTGAACTGTTGCTTTAAATTTCTGTTTTGGCACCATCATGTGATATTTATTAGCATTCAAAACTAATGTAAATTCCAACGATGTCTTTTGAATGCTCGTTCGTTGCAATTCATGCAACATTTAAAACAAAACGGTCATATATCATACCATACAGAATTCTAACTTCTCCTTGTGAATTTATATTTGTGGGGGAATGGAGGGAACTTCATCCGCATCTTCATCTTCGACTTTTCCCTCTACTGCTGAAGATCATGTTTTGGTTGACGATTTGTACTTTTCAGCACTCCACGATGCTGAAGAGATATTTCCAATCTCGGATGACAAATATGCTGAAGAGCTACAACTACAAGAAGTCCTCTATTCCTCAACATTGTCAAGTGCTAGAGTAGAAAACGAAGTTGTTCAAGTGGATATAGATGACGACGACGACGACGACATCCCTTTGAGAATCCTCAAGGGGAAAAATAAAGTGACCAGTGAATCTTCTCATGCCTACTGTGGTATTTGTATGGATGCTAAACCTGGAGAAGAAATGTTCAGGAACCAAAACTGTTTCCACTTTTTTTGCGACGATTGCGTTGGAAGATATGTAGCTGCAAAGATTCAGGAAAATATAACAATGGTGAAATGTCCTGAACCAAAATGCAAAGGGGTTCTGGAGCCACAGAACTGTCGTTCGATTATCCCCAAAGAAGTGTTTGACAGATGGGAAAATGCTCTTTGTGAGAATGTGGTGCTTGGAACACAAAAGTTTTACTGTCCTTTTAAAGATTGCTCTACTATGTTGATTGATGATGGAGATGAAATTATAACCGTTTCTGAATGTCCACATTGTAGCAGACTGTTTTGTGCACAGTGCAAGGTTTCATGGCATTCAGGATTGGATTGCAGTGAGTTTCAGAGTTTGAAGAAGGATGAGAGAGGGAAGGAAGATCTGCAGGTAGTGGAACTTGCTAAGAACAAAAGTTGGAGAAGATGTCCAAAATGCAATTTTTACGTAGAAAAAATTGATGGATGTACTCACATTTCTTGCAGGTATGTCATGTACATATTTCTAACCATTCCAAGTAAAACTTGATTGCTAAAATGTTCAACTTGTTTCTTTTTTTTTTCTTTAGAAATGAATTGATTACATGAACTACTAGAGCTTTTATGTGCTGGTTTTCTTGTTTTGCAGATGTGGCGAACAATTTTGCTATGCTTGTGGATTGTCTTGGAGTAGTAATAAGCATTATTCATGTCAACCTCATTAATCAACATTGTCATTTTCCAATGTATGTTGTTACTGAACCAAACCTTCTAAGTGACAATACTCTATTTCCCCTTTCATGAACTTTGCAATCTATGGTTATCATCAGAGGTTTTTGATGAAACTTGAGTCATTGCTCTCTCAAGATGTTAATTTTTTAATGGTCTTAAGTGATAAGTTAAGATTTATTTGCTTTTCCATTTAAAATTTCCATAGGTTTTAGGGTATAGGATTCGTTTAGTAGTAAAAATAGAAATTGTGAAAAAAATAAATAAATAAATAAAATAAAGTAAAAAGTATTTTTGTTGTTTGAGAGAAGAATGACATAAAAATTGAGGAGAGTATTCATTTTAAAAAATAATAAATAATTAAAATTAAATATTTATTTAATTATAAAATTATTTATATAATTCTTAATTACATTTTTTATTAATCAAATAACTTTTAAATTAATACCTTATTTTTAATAATGTGTATTTTAGTATATAGTTATAAAATATTTTTTATTATAAAATAAAATCCTTTTCAAAAAGTATTTAAGTTTAAGTTAATGAAATAATTTCATATTGCAACTGATTCTTATAATAATTTGTATATTTATGATATGTTACTAAAATAATAATTAAAATATATGTATATATATAAATTAAAATTATAAATATAAAAATAATTATTATTTATTTTATTGAAAATAATTTTATAAAATAACCATTTTTTATTATTTATTCTTTTTTAAGAAAAATAAACATGTAGAATATACGAAAAATACCATATTTCTTTGTCACATCCGCATTTGAGAAATTCATTTTTAATAACCATGGTTTAGATTAAGGTTTTTTTTTATAATACCATAACAGTTGTGTTGCAAAATTATTTTATATAATCATTTAACTATATAACTTGTTTTCTTTGTTACTAATAATAGATAAAAAGGAAAATTATAAATTAAATAAACATACAAAATAAATAATTTTTGACGACTTAATTCTAACGTTCACATTCAAGACTAAATTAATTTATTTTTTAGAGAAAAGTACAATAAAATCTAAATATATAAAATAAGGACGTATGAGGTCAACTATTCCTCCAAAATGAAGATTATTTTTGCAAACATATTTTACTTATTCAAACAAACAAAAATAAAGAAATTATTTAATACAAAAAATTAAATATAACAATAAAACATTGATAATTAATTAATAAGTGAAAAAAGAAATAAAACACTAAAAAGTTAATAATCAGCATGTATCATTACCATGAAAAGACAAAACTTTAAATTAAACTCAAATTTCAAAATTTGAAATTTAAATCATAGTTTCCATTTTAAGAATACATTTATTTAGATGTAATATTCTCGACTCGGTTACATTAAATTAACTTTTGAAGAAAGTTATAATATTTAATCTAATTTAATGTAATTTTTTTAAAACAATTCTAATCAATTTGATCTAATAAAAATGAGTTGGTTTAATTTTATCCATCCATTTAACAAAAAAAAAAAAGGAAATATCATATTGAAAAAGTTAATAATCATCATTTTTGTCTCTTCGAGAAAATATCAGAATCATAAATTGAAATATGATATTTTTCTACTCTAATGATTAAGATTGAAATAATTTATACCATTTTTTTAATTACAGTTGAATATTTTCCGGGAAAAACAAATAGTGAAATTTAAAATTCCCTTTTTTTCATAAGGGAGAAACGTTTCTTCTTATATATTATTTTTCTGTGTTTTAATTTTTTTTTAAATTAAAATTAATTTGTACTCTAATTATATATTCTTGTTTTTCAAATTCAATGAAATTCCTTTAAAAATAATAAATATTATACAACAAAATAAAAGGTTTATAAAAAAATTTAAACTATAAACTGAGATTCAATCTTTTTATTGTTTTTGTAAAATCTTTTTAAACCAAAAAATATATCATTTTTTTTATTTCATGTTATAATGAATTGTCTCATAAATTTTAAAATTTTATTCCTTCAATCAAGAAAAACATAAAAGCTAAATATTTTCATTGAAAAAAGTGACAACGTCTTTTTCTTTATTTTTTTTTTTCATTCCTTTTTCACAGTTGTAGGTTTGAGATACACAACTATTCAATATTCCGACTTCGTATATAAAATTTTCAAAATTTGAATAATTATTATATATATATATAGCTTAATAATATTGTCTTATATTATTATTAATTTTTTTTTCATTCTCATATTGTATCAATAAATTTATTAATATAATAAAATAATTGAGTATATTCAAATAAACAAGAATATATATGTAATTATTGCTTTCACACAACCGAATACTTTTTTTAGAAATTATGCCCCGTTATTACATACTATTACATATATTATTTAAATTTAAAAATATTTGTGTAATAGACTCATTGATTATTTTGAAAAACACAACACATCGCGGAATTAGGAGATAATAAAGGGGAATCCCACCCAAACATTGTGTCATATTCATTTCACTTTTGTTCTTCTTCTCTTCTTGATCCTGAAATGGCCCCTTCTTCTAGGGCAAACAATGGAAGAACAGCAAACACAAGGAGGGGGAAGATTGAAATCAAAGAAGTTGAACAGAGAAACAGGCAATGCGTCACTTTTTCCAAACGCAAACTAGGGCTTTGCAACAAACTCACTGAACTCTCTCTTCTATGCAACGCAGAAACCGCTTTGATCATCACCTCCCAAAACGGCAACGTCTATTCGTGCGGCTACCCCAACGCTGACGCCGTCCTCCGCCGGTACATCACCGGAGGGCCACCGCAGCTGTGCAGCGGTGCAAACGACAAGGAGAAGGAGGAGTTTCTTGAAAAGCAAAGGCTGGAATATGAGAGCGTTCAGGAAAAGTTGAAAGAAAAGCAGAAGCAGTTGAAAGAGACGAAAGAGACTCAAAAGAATAGTTTTTGCTTTCCTCCTTGGTGGAATCTCCCCTCTGAGGATATGGGTTTGGAGGATCTTGAACAGTTTAAGACCTCCTTGGAAAGTTTGAAGTTTAACCTCATCGAAGCGTTGCAAGAGAAGAAGTTACAGAAGAACTTACCTTCACTTCCACCAATACCATATGCTATGGTTCCATCGCCACAGTTCCCAAACATGTCGAACTTGACTCAACTCTGCAGTGGAAATCAAGTTGAAAATGATGGGAACAGTAATGTTGCAAAAAAAACTGGTACAACTGTGACATCTCTAATTACAAGTGGTTTTGGCCATTGTTAAGCATGGAAAATTACAGGTAAACTCTGAGAGTGATAATTTCAAAATGTTTAATTTGCGATCAACTTGTTGCAGGTGTGTCCATGAATTTTGTCATGCCATCTTCTTGGAGTTCTCATCACGCGTCTGGTTAAGAATTCTGCCATATCTATCCATGGAGATACCAAATTTTCTTGGAGCTTCTGGTACAAGATTCATATATATTATAGGTTATTCCTAAGATTACAGATAGATTTTGAAGTACGAATATGAATCTGGTCAACCTCAACCATTCATGATTTTCACTATATATCATTACTTAATATCACTTAATGGATGTCAAATTCTGCTAAATAGTAATTTGTCCAAATTTAGTTTAGATATTTTATTTAACTTTTTTTTTTTCTAATTTCATCCTAACTGTTCTTATATGTTAGAGAGGTTTAAAAAACTTGTTTTGTTCGAAAATAAATAAACTTTAAATATAGTATTGAGATTATTAAAAAATTATTTTCTCATATATTTGTTGTTTCTTTCCTTGTTAATATTCGTATTAAGATTGGCATAGTATTTATAGTACTATTTATCTTTCTTTTTTTCAATTCTCAAAATCATACGATGACACTTGTAAAATTGTTATTCGTTAGATAATTATCTGTAAAAAATAAATATAAATATTAAGAAATTTATAATAACCTACATGTGTTTTCAACCAATTGAGTTATACAACTTTGACTACAAATACTCTCATTTTAAAATTTGGACTAAGTAAAAAATTGTTTTTTTAATCCTTAAAAACTTAATGAATTTTATATTTAATTTTCAATAAATAAAATCTTGACTTTTAGTACATGAAATATATTTATATTTGATTTTATATTTATTTCTGAAAAAAATAATTATTTTTATTTCATTTCTATCATTCTAACGACTCTTTTAAGTGATTCTTGAAATGCTTTTTTGATTTATTTATTGTTTATTGAATTTTTTTATATAAAAAAATAATAATATATCATATCAACATAGATATATAAGGATATAGATAAAATTTTAATTTAAAAATATTAAAGACCAACTACGAAATTTTAAAAGATCTAAAACATATTTAATTTATATAATATATAAAATTACACTTGATCTTCCTTATGCATTATTTAGGGACATGGGCCTCCCTTGTGGATTTTGTTTTCCTTTCTCCGGCCGAAGAAAAAAAAAAAAGAGACAACGGGCTGTCCATTCTCAACTTGAAGATGTGACGAATCAATTTCAATTGGTGACCCAAAACCATTATGACCTAGCAAATTAATTCAGACCTGAGAGAAAGAGGGCCAATAAATTTGAAATATTTAATTCGTATCTTGAAACATAGAAGTACCTATTAATCTCAATTAGGTATATTAATCGTAAAATAATAATGATAATAATAAATAGTTTGAACATTTATGCCCTTGGTTTAGTGGGGTATTAATTGTTTTTGCAGAGACAGACATTAAAGTGATTGAATATGCAGGTATGGCTCGCACACCTAACTAATGTCTCACTGTGCTACATTTTGAATGATGCAAAAAAGGTTGGTTTAGATATGAATATTTGTCTCACTCATTCAAGAAACAACTCATCTTTTTTCACCATAACGTTGCCATCATCACCCTTAAAACGTGTGGTTGATTACAAACCCAATAATCGATGCTACCATTAAACAACATAAAGATTAAGAGATTCAAAACCTTCTCCATTTAAACAAAACTCAAATTAGAATGCTAGAAAAAAATAGTTTTTTAAGTTGAACTTGGCAAAATGGTCCAAATTAAACTTCACCCTTTCCCCTGTGCGCGTGCATCATAACATATACATCGGCCTTTCCCCTTGATTAACCTTTTTTACTAGAAACAGAGCAATGTAAAATCCAAACTCTCCTTTCACTGTTTAGACAAAGAGAGTTGAATTTGGATCTTCTTGTGTCCAAGTGTTTCAAATTGAAAGAGGGTGAAAAAGAAAAAGAAAAAAGAAGCTAGTTTCAATTTTAGGTCCCCACCACCATGATCACTTTAGTTAGGATCATCACCAAAGAAAAACCAACACTTTGCCAAGAAGGTGTCACCGTCACCCCGATTCAATGAAGAAGATGATTATGTTAAAGCGTTTATTTCTAGAAAAAGTTTTGTGCACATTGTTTTGGGAACACAAGACCACATGTTATGGTGCACAATGGTTATAAACCATGATTATGAAAAAAAAAAAAAAAAGTTACTAGAATCAAATAATAATAAAATATATAATAATGCATGATGGGGACTACGAGTCTTTAAAGTTTTTAAAATTTTCATCCATGGACAAAGGCCCACATCGTACAAGTTTCACTTCCTAGATGTCCATTATGACAGTTGCCGAGAAGCCCCAAGAGATGAATAAGGTTCTTAATTGGACTATTTTTAGTGTTTTTTATTAAATTGGAATATTTTTCTTATATTTTTGTTTAATTATATTTTTCTACATTTTGACAAACCTTTGTGATCGAGTTATAAAACAAATTAGAATACTTCAAAATATAAAACATGTGATTATATAAGTTTCTAATTGTGTCTTAATTGTCCATTTTATTTTGTATGTTAAAGATAAAAATAGTCCAATTTTTTTTTCGACCAAACAAGGCATTTCATAGATGCATTGATTGTGATGAATGGGCTTCTTCATGTCATCCAACTCATGACATGTACGGTCATTGCACATCAACCTTAAAAAACTTTGGAAGTTAACTCTACTGGTGAATTAAGGTGTATTTTTTTCATATTAACAATATAGAATATTTATATTTATCGTCATCTCACGATATAATTTTTTTAAAATAAAATTATGATAAGCATTTTAAAATAGATAATAATTTAAACATAAAATTTAATTCTATTAATATTATTATAATAAATATAAGGTCAAAACAATTATATTGAAATACTGTAAAATTAAGAATAAAATATTATTTTACTCGTACATATCATGAATTTTTATCTAAAAACTTATGTTTTACTATTTTTATGGGTATTATATCACATAAAAATTGAATTTAAAAATAATATATATATATATATATATATATATATATTCTCATTTCAATAAATTTTTTTAAAAAATAAATTCATAACGAATACATATTTTAAAATAAAAATTTAAAAATTTACTCTAATAATATTATCATAATAATTAATATTTATAAAATATTAATAATTTACGAAAATTTTATTCTTAAATATTTTTTATTTTTAAATTAAAAAAATAAAAAAAATTCAACCCTACCATGTATGGCCAACAATGTCAGGCCACCATCCTACGATTTCTTAAAAGATGGCACTGTCGGTGTATCCCTCGTCATAGATGACGTTTTGTCCCTTTGATCTCAACAACAGGGAAAAGATTATTAAGGATGAAGATAATTAAAGGGATAATAAATATTTTTGTATCTTCTTCTTTTTTGAAAAAAAAAAATTCTGAGATATTGCGCATGCATGGATGGGTCTGCGACAAAGGTCAAAAGATTTCAACATGTATTCCTTTTCAAACTGTCGTATCTGTCAACCGTCACCTTATAAACCGATTAAATGTACTATCATATATAACTGACTAATAAACTAAAGTGTCTGTCTTAAAGAAAATAAAAGTTAAGTGTTGGTAGATTAAGATTACATGTAAAATATTAGTGAGTTGATTTTGAAGATGAATTTTAGGTTGGTGTGTAAATGGGGGTAGAGGGTAATTGTGTGTGTATAAATGGAGAAGGTGGGTCTTAGTTTGGTCCTCTACTAGGGTAGGTTAACGTAATTCATGGACCCAATTGGACCATCAATTGGCAAAGCTGGTTAAAAAAATGTCCAAAAAGATTATGAATACAGGACCAGTGCCCAGGTGGTCTCATGGATACAAATTTTTCTTAAATGTAAAAAAAATAAAAATAAAAATTTATATATATAATTGAAGTTGTCAAGTAAACGTTAAAGAAACTCATCTATGCATTTCCAATCTAAAATAATAAAAAATATTAATATTGTAGATAATAATAAGTTTAGTAAAACAGATTTCGATTTTAATTATTCTTTTTATATTTAACAAATTTATGTGTTTTAATATCATTGTTTTAATTTTGTTTTATATCTCTGATTAATTTGAAAATGTTTAATTGGTATCAGAATTAAATCAATTAAATAAATATCGTTATTTTAGAGAAGATTACAAAAATAAAAATTGGATTCACGTAACATTTTAATAATATTCTGTGAACACCTTAATGAATAGTATAAAAATCATACGACATCCGATTTATAAAATTAATGAAAATCTATTAACTATTAAAAAAAATAGTTATGAAGTGTTTTAAGTTTTTTCTCCTGAATACAAAAAAACTGTAAAATGTTTGGGAACACCTGATTCTGTGCAGTGTGAAATTACTAATACGATAGTTTCAGGTTTTCTTTTAAAAAAAGTTTCAGAAAACACTCATCACTACAGTGGTGTTTTCCCAGTTACTGACATGCGTTCTTTCATTCAAAAAAAAGTTTTCCCAAAATGTATCGGTAAACGTAATCTGAACAGCTGTTTTCTACTTTCTGTGTCAAATAAGAGAAAACATTGACACTGTAACAATAGTTTATGAAGATACCTACAAAAATTCCAATCTTCTTCATTTCAATTTCAAATTTCCACACTCCACCACTGCTCTTCCACTACACATAACCCACCATTTTTGTACTCTAACCACCAACAGTACCATGCTACTACCCTACACACTACACTACAAATAATTATAACCTTCACTTAATAACTCTTCCTTCTTCAACCACACACAACACATGCACTCTCTCATCTACACACTTTTTTCCCTTTAAATTTTGGTCACTAACATTGGAGTCTTTCACTTCACACTTCAATGGCTGCATTTCCCTCCTTCCTAGTTTTCCTCTTCCTCTTACCAACACTCACACCACTTGTTTTTTCTGCCCACCAAGAAAAGAAAGAAACTTTCATAGTCCAAGTCCATCACCAAACAAAGCCTTCCATTTTCCCAACCCACAAACACTGGTATGAGTCCTCACTCTCTTCCATTTCCAACACCGCTTCTGTTATCCACACCTACGACACCGTTTTCCACGGCTTCTCCGCAAAGCTCTCACCTTCTGAGGCACAGAAGCTGCAAGCGCTCAGCCATGTCATCGCTCTCATACCCGAACAGGTTCGAGCGCTTCACACCACGCGCTCCCCTCAGTTCCTTGGACTCACCACCGCCGATCGCACCGGGTTGCTCCATGAGACCGATTTCGGGTCGGATCTCGTCATTGGCGTCATCGACACCGGAATCTGGCCGGAGCGCCAGAGCTTCAACGGCCGCGACCTCGGCCCTGTTCCTGCCAAGTGGAAGGGCCAGTGCGTTGCTGGCAAGAACTTTCCGGCCACCTCATGCAACCGGAAACTCATCGGAGCCAGGTACTTCTCCGGCGGGTACGAGGCCACCAACGGGAAGATGAACGATACCACGGAGTTCCGCTCGCCAAGAGATTCCGACGGCCACGGCACGCACACGGCGTCGATCGCCGCCGGAAGGTACGTGTCGCCGGCGTCAACGTTAGGTTATGCGAAAGGAGTTGCCGCCGGCATGGCGCCGAAGGCGCGATTGGCGGTGTATAAAGTCTGCTGGAACGGTGGGTGCTACGACTCCGACATCCTCGCCGCGTTCGACGCCGCGGTGGCCGACGGTGTCGATGTGGTGTCGCTTAGCGTTGGAGGAGTGGTGGTGCCGTACCACCTCGACGTGATTGCGATTGGCGCCTTTGGCGCCGCCTCAGCTGGGGTTTTCGTCTCCTCCTCCGCTGGCAACGGCGGTCCCGGCGGCCTCACGGTGACGAATGTGGCGCCTTGGGTGACCACTGTCGGTGCTGGAACTATCGACAGAGATTTTCCGGCGAATGTTAAGCTTGGAAATGGAAAAATAGTGCCCGGGGTTAGTATATATGGTGGACCGGGTTTAACTCCGGGGCGGATGTACCCGATTGTGTATGCGGGTATTGGACAATTTGGTGGTGGTGGTGGTGGTGGCGGTGACGGTTATTCATCTTCACTTTGTTTGGAAGGTTCCTTGGATCCCAAGACTGTGAAAGGAAAAATTGTTGTGTGTGATAGAGGTATTAATTCGAGGGCTGCAAAAGGTGAAGAAGTGAAGAAAAATGGAGGGGTTGGCATGATTTTGGCCAATGGTGTGTTTGATGGTGAAGGATTGGTGGCTGATTGCCACGTGTTGCCTGCCACGGCGGTTGGTGCCACTGCTGGCGATGAAATCCGGAGGTACATTGGGAATTCGCGGTCACCGGCGACGGCCACAATTGTGTTCAAGGGGACAAGGCTTGGGGTTAGGCCAGCTCCTGTGGTGGCATCATTTTCAGCTAGAGGGCCTAACCCTGTGTCCCCTGAGATTTTGAAGCCCGATGTTATAGCCCCAGGGTTGAACATTCTTGCAGCATGGCCTGATCTTGTAGGACCTTCTGGGGTTCCCTCTGATGGGCGTAGGACTGAGTTCAACATACTCTCGGGGACTTCAATGGCTTGTCCTCATGTTTCTGGTTTGGCTGCTCTGTTGAAAGCAGCACATCCTGATTGGAGTCCTGCTGCTATTAGATCAGCTTTGATGACCACTGCTTATACTGTCGACAATAGGGGTGATCCCATATCGGATGAGTCCACGGGGAACGTTTCCTCAGTGTTTGATTATGGTGCTGGCCATGTTCATCCTGTTAAGGCCATGAACCCCGGTTTGGTTTATGATATCTCCCCTTCTGATTATGTGAATTTCTTGTGCAATTCAAATTACACCACCAAGAGTATCCATGTGATCACAAGGAAGAGTGTTGATTGCGGTGGGGCTAAAAGGGCTGGACATTCTGGGAATCTGAATTACCCTTCAATGTCTGCAGTGTTTCAACAATATGGAAAGATGAGAATGGCTACACATTTTATTCGGACTGTAACCAATGTTGGGGACCCTAATTCCGTGTACAAGGTCACCATCAAGCCACCAGGTGGGATGGTGGTCACTGTGAAGCCAGACACCCTGACTTTCAGGAGGGTGGGTCAGAAGTTGAACTTTCTTGTTAGGGTGCAAACTAGGGCTGTTAAGCTTACACCTGGCGGTTCTAGTGTGAAGACTGGTTCCATAGTCTGGTCTGATGGGAAACATACTGTCACAAGTCCCTTGGTCGTGACAATGCAGCAACCTCTGGATTAGTGTTTCAGGTTTTGGGTGTAGAAATTTTGGGATTTTATCCATCTTGGATATCTTGTTAAAAATTAGCTCTATATGCTTAATAGAGTATGTGTTTGTGAAGTTGTTCCATTGCAAGAACTGGTGGAAGGATGGTTTGTTGGAAAGAGCGTGAAGGTACTGCCAAAATGAAGGATATTCTCAAAAAAAAAAAAAAAAAAAGGATGGTGGAAGTGTATCTTTCATCTTGTATAATTAAGAGTGTTTGAAGAAAATGTCGTGTTTAGAAGAGGATAGTTTATTTGGAAGGATCCTTTCCTTCTTGAGTGATGTTGTTAATCCTTTGAAATTTTTTAATATCTTGTTCCATCAAATATCTGATAAACCCATGTATGTGGATAGAGAGTGTAGTGTTTTACATTGCTGGAAACTTAGTTGGTTGAAAGAAGCTAATAGCTTTCAAAACACAAGTGTTTTTTTGTTTTATAGTGGAAAAGAACTAATTTTGAATTGTAAAATATTTTAATAATAAATCTTTCCTTAAAATGTGTCTAAATCTACGTTATAGAACATTCATTTGGTGTAAAACAATTCAAAAGTGCAGGGATACCATGATCATGACAATAGGACAAATAAATATTTTTGGTTGTTTCATTTTCTCTCTTTTTTTCTGCAGTATTTATCACGTGACTGCAACCGTGGGATAAATCCATGGCAGGATCTACCAGGATAGATTTGCATTATCTAAAATGAGAATCTTGAAGATATATTTATTGAAGAAAATGGGAACACATATCCTGTCAAACATCAAGCATTACAGCATAGTTAAACCAAAAATACCAAAATACTAAATGTCAGAATATTAGTCACAACTGTAAACAAATACTACTGAATTTTGTAATATTTCATCTGAAGCTAAAAGCTGAAACTATACTATGATATTAGACAGAAAAATAAAGTGAAATGTAATTTTTTAGGTGACCTAGTTGTTGTAAGATTCCCAATAAATGTAAAGGTTTGATGGTAGTGGAAATTCAAATTGACAGATAAACGAAAACTGAAATTGGGCATGCAATGACGCAAGACAATCTGCATTCAAATGATGAAGGTTGAATTGAAATTTGAAAAGCTAATTTAGACTTTCCAACAAAGCTTCTTAGCTGGAAAAGAAACTGGTTTGCCAACCGTGGCCCAACATCATGAGAATTCTTTTTAAGCTGATTGTCGCATGTGTATCATTAGGTTAGGTTGGTTCCCTCTTGTCTTTTGCTTCTTCTTCTTTTTTCCTTCTTAAAATCTCAAAACAAAAAACCAAAACAATATACGAATGTTGATGAATAACAATCCTCCCTTGTCTTTTCCTACTACCAGTTAATGTAATTCCCTTATTATTCATTGAATTTTAAAAACATCGTATAATTGAAGATATTTTTTTGTGACAAAATAAATCCCAACAAAAAGAACTAACCCAATCCAAATGGGAACGTCCTCAAAGAGCAACAAAATGACATAAAAAGCGTCATCCAAAACCTCAAATGTCAACAACTACTTGTTAGAAGTTGCAGAGTTTAAGAAATGCTCAATCTAGTAACCAAAAAGGAAACAAATTCTAGTCTTAATGAAAGATTTGTTTCAGTGCCAATACGTAGCTTGCTCTTGCAACTTTTAACGAGGTTGACATGTATAGTGCTTGCTACTATCCCATTTCAACCCACAAGAATAGCAAAATTCATCCCCACATCTGCAAAACAAGTGAGCCAGCACATGAAAAAGCTCATATTTTTTATTTGTGGTATTTGAATTCAGAGTACTGGTATATATGTAGATGACAAACCTGCAACGAATACGCGAACATCCACCCACACTCTCCACATAAAAACTGCATTTTGGACATCTTTTCCAACTTTTCTTCGTAGCAAGCTTCTCGAAATGTATATCTTGACCCTGAAACTCGATGCAATCTACTCCTGCATGCCATGGAACCTTGCACCGTGCACAGAATTGTCTCTTACAATATGGACATTCAGAAACACTCACAACATCCTCTTCGTCAGTAATCAACATAGCAGAACAATCCTTGAAAGGACAGTATAACTGTGATTCAAACTCTAAATTCTCGCGAATGTTATCTTCCCATCTATCAAAGACTTCTTTAGTGAGGACTGAACGACAGTGTCGAGACTCTATAACCTGGCTGCATTCTGGATCAGGACATTTCACCTCTGATATATTTTCCACAACCTTTGCAAACACATATCTTCCCACGCAATCCTCACAAAACGCGTGATAACAGTTTGGAGTCTCAAACATTTCACCAGTGGTTTTAGCATCCATGCAAATACCACAGAAGAATAGGATGTGATCATCTTCATCAGCAGCAGAAACCAAAGTTATAGATGAAGATGCGGATGAAGCTCCCTCCATGCCCCTGCAGAAAAAAAAATCATCACCAAAAGTCATTAATAATTAAGTCATCGTGAAATCATGTATGTAGAAAAATATAATTTAATATATATTATCTGAAATTATTGTCATAGTCAAAGCAAAAATACAATATAACGCATTTCTTATATATAAATAAAAATAAAAAAAATTAATAATAAACACAAAAGATTATATATATGACCAACCAGGAAGAAATATGTGAATCTGCTTCATCGAGTGCTAACAGATCATCCATCCTTCTCCGTTCCTTCTTCAAACTCAGAAACTCAGTGCAATCTAACCCTTCATGCCACAAAACCTTGCACTTTGCACAAAACAGTCGCCTACAACGTGGACATTGAGAAGTAACTGCAAAAGGATCATCAATGAAGTTTGCAGAACATTCTTTGAAAGGACAGTAAAACATTTGTAATCCAAGCTCCACATTCTCAGAAGGACCATTGTCCCATCTATCAAACACTTCCTTTGGAATGATTGTTTCAAACAACTCAGCCTCCAGAACCCCTTTGCATTGTGCTTCAGGACATTTCACCAATAATATATTCTCCTCAATCTTTTCAGCCACATATCCTCCAATGCAACCAACACAAAAATAGTGACAACAGTTTCGGTTCCTGAACATTTCGTCACCACGTTTAACATCCATGCAAATACCACACTGCATAAGACCGATCCTTTTTTGTTTCCGAGTGAGGATTCTCAATAGCATGTCACTGTGATCCTGTTTGGTAACGTGGTTTTCAACTCCACAAATTGACGCTTCAGAAAAAATGAATTCCTTTAGTCGTGGCTCTTCATTACATCTCTTTGGAAATATCTTTTTAGTTAAATCATGGTGTTCAGGAGTAGAGACCATAGTCACAGATGAAGATGAAGATGCAGATTCCTCCATTACCCTATAAAACAAAAATCGCAAGGAAAAGTATATATGTCCAAAAGATGTGTCTCCTATATATTTATAGGAGGATCTGCAGGAAGTGAAAATGTCAGATAACATTTTCTGTTATCGAAATTATTCTCCAAGAGATATCTTCGCTTATAGTTGTACACATATTTCTAAACAGAAATAATATATTATCCTAGGATCCGATTTTCCCAGGAAATAATATATTTAACTGTTCAAATTTGATGGTTGATCAAGTCATGTATATGGTTATAAATTATTTTTTATTTCAAATCTTCAGCAATCATATTTATCAATTGTTTTGAATTTAATTTTATGTAAACGAATCAATATATATAATATTTATGGTTAACATTAAAAAACAACTTTTTCTATAGAAATTGATGAGAAATGTTTTTATTTTTACAAATTATATTCACGTTTTTATTAGTGAATACACACATTTTTACTAATGAATACATTCCATTATTCTGTTTACATAAAAATTGATTTTTATCTTTTTCTAGTTAATATCTTCATCTTTTAAAATAATTTTTTAAATAGTTATAAAATAAATTTTTATTTTTAACTTATTTCTAAAGATTATTTATCAAAAAATAATCTCTGAAGTTAATATATATCTAAAGATTACATTAAACTGATTTTCGAAAATTACAGAATGTAGTCTCTAAGATAATTTTGAAAAGTATTTCGTGGTGAAAAATACTTTTCAGATCTCTCCAGAATATTCTTTTACGCCGTTCTCTCCGAAGATATAGGAATGACGAAAACAACGATATATACGTAATGTTTTATGCACAATATCAGTAATTTGATAAAATCTTTTTGGAATAACTGAATTTAAATTTGCAATTAATTAAAGAAAAATTTTCTGAATAAAAAATATAACAGAAATTGGTAGAAAGAGTTGAGTTGAGAATGTAAAGTATATATTTTTAGGCTTTTACATCTTTCGGTGACACTCAAATTCAGAATAATCAGAAAATATATTTTAGATTAATTATTCTTAAAATACATTCCAACCGACTCGATACAAAATATATTTACAAAATAGTTTATTTGAAAATAAATTCTGAAAATATACATTTTCATAAAGTAAAATATAATATATTTTAATCACAGGGGAGAAGAAGAAACTATAAAAGTGGAGGAAGAAACATCCTCACAAAATAATGCTCATCACAAATCCAAAATAACAAAAATCTAACAAACATCCTTTTCAATAAATTCCTTTATTTTATAATTTTTTTTACTTTTTTTTAACTTTGATAACAATAAATTATATATTACATAATTACAAAATGTTATAACATTAATAATTTTGTATAATAAGTGAATTTTTTTAATTTAACCAATAAATTATCACTTCACATCATGATTATTCATATCAAATTTTAATATAATCCATAAAAAAAATCAAACTATTCATATTTTAGTATATTTTGAATTATAGACCGTTAACTTTTATTTATACAAAAAACAATTTAATAAGTTTATATACATGATCAATGGAAAATAAACCATTAATCTAATCTAACTATGAGATTTTAGAAAATAATTAAAAGGTGTTTAATGTTGTAACGTTTAATTAAAATATATATATAAATGCCCATTTAGATATTTGGAGACGAGTTTGATAGGTTGGATCCATTACAAGCCCAATATGTTCACCGGCCCTTTTTCTAACAAATAAATAAACATGTATGGGCCTCAGTTTCTTTATTTACATTTTCATTTTCGAAAGCTTATTTTGAAATGAAGTATATAAGTAGTTTGCGTATCGGGTTTCAAGCATTTTACGTAGAAAAATTGTGAATATTTTCTTTCAATATCATTTGAACAAGGACATTAATAAATGCAAAAGTATTAAATGTTAGAGTGGGTCACTAAACATTATTATCTCATCTCATTTTGCTTGACCCACAAAGCTTTTTCACATAATCCCTTTATTTTAAAAATAATTACACTATGAATTTAATACATAAATTCAAAAAGAAATATTTCCTCCAATCGTTTTTTTTTTCCTTTCAACAATTTGTTTTGAAAGAAAAAAATAATTTTTTGCACATGGCATTGCACATGTAGCATGCACAAATGGGTGATCAGTTTTTGTCGTTGAAAACATGGATTGATACGTTTGACAAAATTGCATACAGGGTCAAGAGATTTGGAGATGATTGTGGGCCTATGTGTTGGCGCTTCAGAGGCTACAATTAAGATGTGAAAAAACATTAATCTTATCTTTAATTTCATAAAGTTAAAACCCACATAAGAGCCCAAATTCTGACTACCATCACTTTCATAACCCCAATATTTCCACAACTGTGAAAGATTCGTGTACGACATGAAAAACAAAATTATTATTATTATTATTTTCTAATTTCATATCATTTTTAATTTTAATATTAATTTCATTTATTTTTAACAAAAATTACTTAAAAATAAAATTAGATATTTTATTACGAATTTTATACATAAATTATTTAAAATTTGGTCAAAATTATTTATATAAATAAATTTATTCTCATCTTAAATTATTTTTTATATTTTTCCATTTTTAATCCACGTAATATTTATAATAAAATATTTATTTTTATTCTTATATTACTTTTATCAACCATTGTAGACTATTCTTACAACAATTAAATCAAATTAACACTAAAAATAAATATAATAAAATAAAAAATAATGAAATAAACAACCTTGGACTTTTGCATCAAATTGCAACACAGAAAACGACAAAACATCTATTTTACTTTGGAGTGTCCTATTTTACCCACGCAACAAATCATGAATTGCTTTGCTTTCAATCAGCGCTACACGAGTGTTGCACATCAATTAATATTGGTCTCCGTGGAATCAAGGAGTTTGGAAAATTAATTAATTAGATTAATTGAACCTGGTGTTATTCATAATGACAACTAAGTTAAATAAATATCAACTTGATCAACCACTTGTCCAATGGCTTAAAAGTGGATAAAAGTATAAAGTAGAAAATTAGTATTAAGCATTTGTTCATTAACAGTGATTACTGTTTAGAACATTGTGTAAATTTATGGGCATCTTTCTTTTTGCTTTTCCTAGGTGAACTTAACTTTTCCTCTCAATTTTTTTGTTTATGTTAAGAAGAATATTACTTGCGTCTTTTCTTTCCTAATGAATATAACCCATGTGTTTTACTTTTTTTCTTAACTATAATTTTCTCCATAGTCTCAATATTATTTTTTTTAGTTTAAAAAATAACATTATAGTTTCTTAGTATGTCTTAATTTTGTGTTAGTTAAATTATTGAAGCCCTGCGCGATCTTTGTTTCTTAAACACATTATTTAGATTTAAATTTTAGAATAATTAGATTCATTTGATTGTGATAAGATTGCAACCATTCATTTAAAACTAAAAATAAGAAAAATGAAAAACAAAACATATTTATAATATCAACAAATATTGTTAACATTAACAAAATGTAAAAAACTATAATTACGTGATTAAAATACATAAAACAAACTAAAATATAATTGATTCAATGTAGTATATGGAAAATGGGTTTTAAAAAATAACAACTTGATCATCATATCTTAATTGCGTAGAAGAGAATAAATTATAAAGAATAACTTTATGATAAGCATTTATAAATTATTGCATGTTTCTAAGACACAATATTAATTACATTAACTTTTTGTTATTGTTCATTAAAAGTGTATGATTACTTGTGAGTTAAACCTTTTGTTTTTTAGTTCAATAATGATTAACCATAATTGTTTAATCAGAAGTACTATAAATTAAAAAATAATTGCAGAATGCAATGACTTATAATATTTCATGAAAAATAAAATAAGAAATAATTTTCCTAATTTTTTTTGTCCTTTTTTATAAAAAAAAATTACGATAGTTTAAATATATTTATGTAAGTTATTTGTAAATAAGTAAATAATAATGAAATTTATAGAAATTAAATAAATTTTTTATTTTTTATTTTTATACATAAATTAATCTTATTTTAGGATAATAAATTTTTCCTCTTTCTATAAATATTTATTTAATTATAATTTTGATAATTTATTTTACAGCATTTACATTTTATATCTCTTTTTTTTTCAACAAACTTGTTCAATTTTCAATTAAATTATGCATTGTTTATCAAATGTTTTAGATATAATAAAGTTAGATGGGAAAGGAAATCAATATATTTATGATTCTTTTTTCTTTTACATAATTGAAGGTGAAGGTTTAAAGATGATCAATTTTTTTAAATGTGAAATCTAAACAAAGTTACACATGATAATGTAAAAGAATTAAGGAATCAAAACTTAAAATAATTTAAAATTAAAAAACTAAAATTGTAGAAAAAAAAGTATAAATTTTGTAAAATATAGAAACTTATTTTTGGAAAAATTTATTAAAGCATACCTTATTAGAAAATAAAACTACTTTTTTTTTACCTAGTTTTACCCCTTTCCTAAAATTTAAAATCACATCAATAGCCTCTTGTCTAAGGCACTCCCTAAAAGATATTAACAACAAAACCTAGTTTATCACAAATATCAAATTATTTGTCATAGTTTGGTTAGCTTCCTTCACATGTAACTTGAATCTTTGGATTGTAGTGAATAATTTACAAGCCATTAATATTTGTATTTAAATGCATATCACTTTAACAACACATGAATAAATGAATGTTATCCTTTTCCCATTTTCACTATCCTACCATAATGTCATCACACAACACCGCTTTCTAATAAAATATAGTGAAGTGGGCATGGGCCATACTTTGTTGATTCTCAAGTCCCAACCAAGCCCATGGACCACCCATTTCTTGCTCTTGTAAGGGAAACAACTACTAGGTGGGCCCCTCAGTGGGCCTTGCGGAACCACAAATGACTGGGTTTCTTACCAAAAGATCCCAGCCGTTGAAATCTCAGTCAAATAATCCGTCATCAACACGAGACAAAGTCAACGTTTGTTACACTACTCTGAAATTTTGAACCGCTTGGTCACTTGACTACGATGATGTTTCATTTTTTTTAATTTGTCACATTGAATATATAATGTGAGAAAAAAAAAAAACGTGTACAGCACACGTCGAAGTTGATAAGGTCAAACTGTAGTTTACTCGTTTATTTGAAATTTGTGTGTGAGATATTGATAGATATTATTCGCTACAGTTAATAAATACAAAAACTTTTACTTTGTATTTAACAAAGTCAATCTAACACGTTAGAATTTAATCTGATTTATAAAATTTGAATTTGAATAAATATTTATATATATTATACTTTTAATGACTAAGTTGGTTAATGATTTAAAATTTAATAGCTATTTCTTATAATTTTATTTTAATGATTAATTGCACTTTTTATTGTATTTTCAATAAATAAATAAACAAATTACCAATATATAATACAAAAACAATATATTATTATTTAAAACATTTAAAAATTATCAAATTGACATCCTATTATGATTTTAATGATTAAATTAAAAAGTTAAATTGACTTAAAAAATAATTATGATGCAAGCATTGCTTTGACAAATGGTTCCCATGATTCAGGAATTGCATGTGGCAGTCACCCATCATTCATGTACAACACATCCTCGTGTAAACTCAAGAATTGCATGTAAAGTTAATATACCACTCCTCTTTATTATATCCAAACAATGAATACATTACATTCAGACTGAAAATTGAATTAACAAAAAATTATATCCTTTTTTTTATATCAATTATTTCAACAAGTATCAAAATATATATATTTCATGCACATGAACAATTGAAGTATGATGAAAATGGAAATTTGAAAGAAAAAGAAAAAATAAAACACGATCCCTCGTATATTTAAATAAATTCAAGTTTAAAGTAACGTGAATTTTAAACTTTAAATTTAAACAAAATGAATATTTGTACCTGTCAAGTAAAAGAAGAATCACACGTCTCCATGTAAGTAATGTTAAATTTTCTGAGCGAAACCTATGTTGTGTACATAACTAATTTAAAAGAAAAATCCAAAATCAACACCGCCTCTCGTGACATAAGCATCTGCATGTCCATCACCAAAGTCCAAAAACACTAACTAATTCATATAATATACAATAAATATATATATATAAATATATATATATATATATATATATTACATTTTAAAAACATTTATTTGAAACAAAAAATAACAAAAATCATAGTTATAACAATAGAATAAATTTTCAAATTAAGTTTAAATTATACATCATTCGCTGGTGTAAAATAATATAAATCATTCTTACTTTAATTTCTGAATTTAAGAACATTTAAACAACTCTAAATTGTTATTTTTCTCTTAATAGTTTTTCTAAGTTAGCTAAGTTTCATGATTAAATTAAGAAAAAATAATTTTAGATTTAATTTGTATATGTCGGATTCTTAAAAGTTATTTATATAAAAAATGTTAAAGTATAATATTTTTTTTATATAACAATGTATAGTTTAATATAATTAAAATATTTTATTTGATTTATATATTAATTATTTTATTACATTTTTAATCATTATTAATTATAATAATTAATTAATTTTATGTGATATAGACTGTAGAATGATATGTATATGCATGTATAATTCAATCTATTTACATATTATTAAAATTCATTTCTGATCATATAAATCTATAATCAATTATGATTTTTTATTAAATATATATATTAATAATATAATTATACTACTGATAAATTTATCTGTTATTAGGAACATGAGAAGATGAGCATGAACAGACAAGGATAAGATGACGACATAACACGCATAAAGTAACTTACACGTGGCAGCCAAATGCATGTCTTACAACCACGTATAGCTATACTGTATACATATATGATGTATGATGGTAGAGTGTTCCATTCAAATTACATACAGATTTTTTTATGTATTAAAGTTTTGGTTCCTAAAAAAACAATTTTTTTAAGCAATAATATTATTTTTATACTCTTTTTTTATAAAATATATTATTTGACTTTGTTAGATTTTTTTAAAGTTTTCTATGACATAACAACAGTTTAAAATTAAATTATATGATTTTTTTACAATATTTGATCAAAATAATATTAAGTAGTAAATATATGTAATTAAATTTAAAATATTTATAATAAAATATAGAAAGTAAATTTGTGTATAAAAAACAGCTTTCGTGACCAATTTTAGTGCAACTTCTTAATCCGAATTTTATATCTAAGAGTACTTTTGAAATTATATTGTAAGCTGTTTTGAAAATGTTTATGACTTTTTTAATATATATTAATTATTATAAAAGAGGATTAAAATAACACAATAAGGGAAAAGAACATCTGATACTTATTAGTAAGAGAACATTAAAATAAAATATTAAAAAATGTGTTAAATGATGTTACATGCGGCAACTAAAATTTATAAAAGTTATTTAAAATAAAACTTACAATATTTTGAATAGTGTAATAATATTAGTAACTAACTAATCTTCTACTATTTCCTAAATTTAAATATAAATAATCATGTAATTTTTTTATGTTATGAAAACTACTCATAGGATTTTCTTGATTTAAACATAAATAAAATATATAAATTATAATAAAAAATAATTTTAATATATGAGAATTTGTTTTTAATTATTTTTTTAATCTTTTTTTTGTCTTTTTTTCTTCTTTCATAATTTTTAATAATTTTTGGTAAAAAAATCTTATAATGAGAAATAAACCTTTACTCCCTTTCATTAATTAATATCCATTAAATTGATTATAGTAAATTTTTATTTTATTTTATCTTTATTTTATTATAATTTTTATATTAATCATTTTATATTTTATTAAATTACATTTAAATTCATCATTATATTTCACGTAATAGAATTAATTAAGTAAATTAATTATAATATGAAAGTATAATATACAGGATTAAAATATTTTTTAACGTTTTACTTGTCTGAATCTTAATTTTTGTTTTTTCTTAATTGGAGTTGCAATTCTTGAAAGAAAATTTACTATTTTTTTAAAAAGGTTATTTCTGTAAAATAAGAAATATTTCAATTACATTATTAAAGGCCAAACATTAATCAAAATTAGGATATTTAAGAACTTATTAAATAAAGGAAAAGTAATTAAAACGTGTTTGTACATCAAGAAATTTTTATATATATAGTAGGAATCAAGAAGTGATATTCATGTGAATTGAAACATTAATTAGAATTTGACCGGTTGTGTTTTCTAAAAGAAAATTAATGTAAGTTTAATTTCACATTAAGTATTAATGTAAGTTTAATTTGACCGGTTGTGTTATTATCGCATTAAAAGAAAAACTAAAACATTTCAATGATTATATAACTTAATTATAAAAAAAAGTTGAATTCAAATATAAAAAAATATATTTAACTTTAATTAAAGATATTATCTCGTTATATTATAATGTTATTCATATTATAAAATGTTTATAACTCATTCATAAAGAATAATTTGTATATATTTTTTCAATTTATTAAAATATATTTAAAAATAAAATCATAATAAATAAAATTTTTAAACCAAATAATATTCTAATTTAAAAATTAACTTTTATAAAATTACCATAAAAATAAAAATCTTCTTATCTTTGATTTGAACAATACATATAAATATAAAAACATCATTTTTTAAACCGAAATACTCACAATTTTTAACAAAAACAATTGATACAGTGTTTTATAAAATTTATAAATAAAAAAAATACTATATTGTACTTTTATGAATGTTAGCCCAGAGAAAATTTCACTATTAACTTCAAAAATAAATTATGTAATAAATGAGATAGAAGTTAACCACATGATGTATTACTTGTTTTCTAAGGGACAGAAAAACTGCTTTAAAATCTGTTTGACAAAAAATAAAAGAGGGACATAACAAAAAAAAAGAAAATAATAAAAAATATTATCTTATACTTTTATGAATGTTAGTTTCATTATGCCGTCATTTTCATTATTAAAAATGTTATTCTTATATTCCATTAGTTACTATGGTTTCTAGAAAAAGAAAAAAAATCTTATTTTTTTCCCTTTTACTGTTATTTTACATTACTAATAAGGAAATACATATTTTTTCCTAAGGCACCATTCACAATTTACTGTAAGAGAGAATAAGAAAAAGCATAAATGAATTATTCCTTGAGTTTCTTAAATTTCAAATAAATGCTATCGTGAAAAAATTGAAATATTTATTCAATAATGTACTAAAAACAAATTAATGTCTCTACAATTTTTTGGTATAAAAAATGGAAATATTAATTAACAGTGTATAAAAAAACTACTATTGTGATTAATTATATATTAACTGTATTAAAATAATACCTCTAATAAATTCACAGTATAAAAATAAAAATTTATATATTAAAAGTGATACTTCTTTTAAGCATTGGCCTTCTTGGCCTTCTAGAAAACAATAAATGAACTTCGAGGCCCTGTGATGTAATTACTGTTGGGTTAGATTACAAAATTGCCCTTTACTCATTTTCCTTATTTTCTGACTGTAAATGTAAAGTTGTTTTCTTACTGGAACAGTAGGTTGCAGGTTACCATTCTACCAAGTTGAATACAAAGGTCTTCTTAATCTCGACCAAGCTATATTGACTGTTTTTAAAAATATTCATAATTTTTTTTAATATGAAAAATATTATATATTTTTTATTTATTTTAAATAAAGATATGTTTAATCAACTAATTATTTCAAATGGTTCAAATTACCTTAATAAACCATGTCTGAAAAAATAATTATCACACTGTATAAAAAGGCGGAGTATTCATTATGGGAAAGGCGAAGCATTTATAATTTAATTTGATTTTAAATTAATATTTTATTATTTTATTATTTGATTTGAATGATTTTTATAATTTTTTTATAATAAAATTATTAACGTATTATAATAAAAATATCATGTAAAATTAATAAATTTAATTTGATTTTAGATATTTTTATGTTTAATAAATATATTTTAATTTATAAAAAAAATATTTTAATTTAATTTAAAAATATAAATATATTTTTAATTATAAAAAAGTTAACTAATTTATTAATAAAACACAAATTTTATGTTTTAATTTCAGTAATATATTATAATTCCGGTTTATATAATTTTTTAATTTTATTTTATGATTAATTTGATCCATTTGTTGTCGATATTTTAATACATTGAACTAATAATATCTTAAATTAATTTTACTATATTTTAGAAAAAAGAAATCTACACTTTGACAAGACACAATTTCAAATTTGGAATCATAATCTTTCTTTGTCTTAACCTCGATCCTCTCCTTCTTAAGGAATGTTTATTTTTTAATATTATAAACTTTAAATGAAATTGTTAAAAATCTTATATGAATTGTTGTTATACATATACTTTAGTATTTAAAATTTTAACTGTGTATTTAATAGCAAAACAAAAATTTTGCATCTCCTAGAAATTTATGCAACAACATTTTTAATGTTAGGAATCGACTTGTGTGTTTATCTATTACAAAATCTTTTTGATCCAATTTATGTTTTTTATTAAGTAGTTTTTCATAGTACTTAAAATATTATTTTTGTTACTACATGTGAAGTTTTAATAAATATATCCATATCTTTGAAATCTCATTAGATATTAACAATTTGTGTAAATTTGTATAGTTACTTTTAATAATCATATATATATATTTTATTTAAAACTTGTAAATGAGAATTAAGGAATTATAATTTTAAATCATGTTATTATTACAATGATCATTAATTATAATTTTTTTTATTAAGAAATCATGCGAGAGAATAATAAATAATACTTTAAAAATGATTAACTTTTTAAAATAATAATTTTATATTTTTAAAATAAAAGACAACTTATATAAATTATTCCCATTAAAAATATTATAGTGTAACTTTGCATGCACATACAAAAATTATACATTATAACTAACAATAAAAAATTATCTAATCACCAACTAGAGTTACAGAAAAATAATTTGAAATCATTTTATCATCACAGAAAATTTACATCATGCATAGCCACTTGTAAAGAACACTTAATATAATTAACAACTTTTTTTAATACAAAGGTATTTTTGAATAAATATGTGATATAAAAGTTATCTTTAAATTGAAACATAGACGTAGATAACAAGAAATGGCTGCAACAGTCACCAAACATTTTCTCATTTTTTTCCATTACAATGGCGTAGTAAATCCAAAAAGATTGGCACGTGTACTCTAAGCGTATGGTACATGATACATGCTGACAGCACTGTCAATAAAAACATCAACTCTACCGTTTACCTTTCCGCGTAAAGAAAACTCACCGGTTACCACTGGCAGGGGCAAGACGGTAACACCACCCACACCCCAGAAAAAGAATTCATTTTTTTATGTATATATATACTATACAGCTCCCACCTCACACCAAACTCAATAATACAAAACCCTGAAGAAAGACATAACAGCCATTGTTACTTTCCATTGATTGAGCCGAAGCTTTGGCTTTTCTCCGATAATTTTTCATTGGGTTCAAGAAAGTCTCAACCTTTCACCGAAAGAGCAAGGATCTAAGATGTGTGGGGGTGCGATCATCTCCGACTTCATTCCGGCAGGACCCCCCGGCCGGTCCCGCCGCGTGACCGCCGACATCCTGTGGCCGAATTTGAGAAAGCGGTTGTCGAAGCCTCTGCTGGACGATGATTTTGAGGCTGGGTTCAGAGAATTCAAGGATGACTCGGAAATCGAGGAAGATGATGAGGAGGATGAAGAGGAGGAGGACTTGACGGTGGTTGGTGTGAAGAAGCCCTTTGGCTTTTCTCGTCCCAACAAGGCTTCTAAGCCTCTTTCTCGTGGTAACTTCACTTTCTGATTATCATCCTCTGAGTTTTTGTTGTGCTTTCTGTTGTTTTGTTTTTTTATCCTGGAGTTGTGGTTTCTATTCTGACATGCATTCCTGCTTCGGCGCTTTGCGTTTCTCTTGATTGTTGTGTGATGGAAAATTTATTACTTTTTTCATGATTGTAACCGTTTTCGAAAAACAAAAATCAAAAAATTTAAAACTTTCTTACAAATAAAATTATTTTTATTTATGGTTTTCTGAATTTTTTTTTATTTTTTTTGGGAGTTCTGTTTGTGGAGTTGGCCCGGCATGGGGGATTTCATTGAATTCGTTCTGGATCTTTGAAGTGTTGAAGAAATTTATTTGCTTTATGGAATTTATTTGTAAAAATGAGCCTTATAATTTTTTTGGGGCTTATTGCGTCTATGTACTGTATATGAAATTTGGGGATTACATTAATTGACTTTAGAGCCGTTTGTATTGGGATATGATTTTGCAGATCCAATTGGAGTTGTTTAACCATCTCATACAAAATTGTAATTTTCCGGGCTTTTAGATGGTAATTTTGTTATTTTTGGTGAAGTTGAATTTTGTTCTCAGGCTTAATGAGACTCAAGTTTTTATTTTGTTATTTTTAAACTTTTATGAGTGTGGATATTTATCTTTTAGGCTTTTCTAAACCTGGATGATAAAAAATTTAGGAACAATATTCTTTACTTTGGCTTTGGCTGGGTGTTTTAAGCATAGCTCACGATCATTGACAAGATCAGTGCAGGATTTCATTTGCATGTGCCTTTGGGGTTGATTCTGTGTTTTTTGAAATCATGCTTTAAATTCAACTATGCTTCTTTGTGGACACAATCGACTAGGCATATGGTTGACCCTAGTGTGGTGCCATAATTTGCATAGGATGGAGAAAATTTGTCTCACTAACCTACTGCAATTTTAAATGTTAGGTCTGATCTAAAGGAGACTGGTCTCTATAATCGATCTGAAACAAAATGTTGAGGATCCTGAAATTTCTGCTACTATCGGTTTCATTAATTGTTCTTTAGTTGATCTGATTTTGGCATTTCATTGAATATTGCTAGTTCTTTTACTTCAGCTGTGGTTATTGGTCTGCTAAGTGGTTTCCTGTTTGTGGGCTAAATAAAGTTTGCTTGATTTGGAATGCTTAATGATTAATCCACGAAATTGACATAATTGATGTTTGAATTCATCATGTTTTTTTATTGTTATTATAAGCGATGCATGTTTCTTCATAATATGCAACTATAGTTACCATTTTGTTCTACATGTTGGGTTATTTGATGGCAACCATATCTATTTCTGAACTTAATGAAATAACACACAGCCCTTGTTAGGATTTCTCTTTTGTTATTAGTTCCTGTACTCGTGTTACTGATTTTCCTTTTACTTGTGGTGTTGTTTAGTAGATCTGAATAGTATTGGTAGAAATGGGAAACTAGATGCCAATCTTTGTATGTGTGTTTTTGGTATGTGATATATTTTTTTAATGATACTTCATATCTGTTGTCTTTGTCCTGATATTTATGTTATTTTCCAATGTTATTGAAGGATCAACGACTGTGAAATCTGTGGAATCAAATGGGCAAGCTGAGAAGTGTGCTAAGAGAAAGAGGAAGAACCAGTATAGAGGAATTCGCCAGCGTCCATGGGGAAAGTGGGCTGCTGAGATCCGCGACCCAAGAAAGGGGGTTCGTGTTTGGCTTGGAACTTTCAGCACTGCTGAAGAAGCTGCAAGAGCTTATGATGCTGAAGCAAGGAGGATTCGTGGCAAGAAAGCCAAGGTGAATTTCCCTGATGAACCTTCAGCTGCTTCCTCAAAACGCCTCAAGGTGAATCCAGAGTCTCAACCATTGAAGCAAAATCTCAACTCTTTGAAGCCGAAAATGAACCAGATGTTCAATTTTGGTGACAATCTGGAGGACTACTACGGTCCTATAGATCAGGTGGAACAGAAACCACTGGTTAACCAATATGTTAACCCTGGCCCCTTTGCTGTAAACGGAGTTCAACTCTCACCTGTTACTCCATCTGCTGATGTTACTGCTTATTTCAGTTCTGAGCATTCAAGCAATTCATTTGATTATTCTGACCTTGGATGGGGTGAACAAGTCCCCAAGACTCCCGAGATCTCATCCATGCTTTCTGCTCCTTTAGAGGGTGAATCTCAGTTTGTGCAGAGTGCTGATCAGATTCAGAAGAAACAAACTCAGGACATGATGCCTGTGCAAGATGATTCTGCAAAGACACTTTCTGAGGAGCTTGCAGACATTGAATCCCAGCTGAAGTTCTTTGAGACCCCTTTGTTTGATGGAAGCTGGAGTGATGCTTCATTGGCGTCTCTGCTCGGCAACGATGCAACTCAGGATGCCGGAAACCCTTTGAACCTTTGGAGCTTCGATGACCTGCCATCCATGGCAGGTGTTTTCTGAGCAACATTGTCTCTCCATTTATGTAAATAAAGCTACAAGTTAGTCATTTTCATGCTGCCTTTGGTTCATTTAATTTTGTTTCTGTTTCCCTCTTAGTGGAAGCATCCCTGCATGTTTGTAAATGTAGATTATTATTATTATTATTATTTTTGGTTGTGTATTGCTTTCAGGAATTGTGGTCGTGGTGTTGGTGATGGAGTCACAGCAAGTAAACCTGCTTAAGGACATGTGGCGTTTATTGCTCTTGTAGCTAATGCAGTATAGGACTATATAGTTTTTTAGGTATCCTTTGTGAACTCAAAGACCTTGTTTTCAGGGGATTTTCTGTCTGATGTCCATAAGGATTATATTATATATATGGCCTGGGATACAGTCTTGACTGCTGATATATTTATTAACTTGGTTGTTTTCATTATGGCTATTTGATTATGACTTGAGACCACTCTTTTATTCAATGCTTTGTTTGGTGGATGATTTTATATCTCTGGAATTGTTTTTTACTTTTCAGGTTTGGTTACATTTTTGGTGGAATTTTGAGCTATTTATGGGTGTGGAAAACCTGTTGTTTTTAAACCTATGTCTTGCATTATTTGTTCTGTTGGGGAGTTTTAACATTTTTCCAAGTATTAAAAATTTAGGTGTGAACAAAGTTTTACTGATCAAATGTGTGAAGCTTTGCGTTTTCTAAGATATTTTGAATCTGCGAATGCATGTTGGAGGTTCAGTTTTTTGCTTCTAATTTGGACCAGCCTCATTGTCTTCTGCTATATAATATGGACTTGCTGTGGTCTGCTTAAATCACCTATTTTTATAATAATTTCTTCAAATTTTAATTTTCCTTATCTAAGTGCAAGGCTCGTTTATTGCAAACAAGTTTTTGAGCAATTTCAAAGTTGAACTAGATTGCCTGTGTAACTTCAACTAATATCATTATTTTTCTTTGATAAAAGTAAAATTTTATATGGCATGGCCATTTTTATTTACTTTTTATGTTTACTACTAATTACAACTTTTTAATATTTTATTAGAATATTCCCTTTTTACAAAACGTAGAAGATGTTCTTTAATTAATATTGCAGTTTCTTTGTTATAATATGTATTGGATGATTTTCTAAATTAGAATTGGAGGTTATTTTTATGAAAGGATTTAAGAAACTAAATCTAAACTACTTTCTAATCTTTAAACAAAGAAATATTGAAAATTTGTTACCAGTGAAAGGTTTGGATGTATCTTATCAGTCAAGGCACTTCAACTTAGGATAGGCATGGAAACGGGCGGGGACGGGGCAAAACCCGTCCTCGCCCCGACTTTTTAACCATCCCCGTCCCCGATCCCCGCAGGGTTAGGAATTAAGCTCCATCCCCGTCCTCGTCGGGTTTCGGAACCCGCCTCGCCCGTCCCCAATTTATATTATTTTTAAAAAGAAAATTATATTTATAATAAATTAATTTTACTATGTATTTTTATATATAAATAAATATTTATAATTTATAGTTATTATTAATTAAATATACATTTTAATTTATTATATTTATATTAAAATATATATGTAAAAGAAATATTTAATTATTTTTTATTTATATATATATAATATTTATAACATTATTATTATTATTATTATAACACTGTATTCAAATATTTGAATATTTATAACATTATTATTATAATACTTGTATTCAAATATTTAATTATACATATAAGTTAATTCATTTTTAAGTTGTCAATATATAGTTTATAAGAAAATATTTAATAAGTTAATTCTTATTTAATTAGTTTGAAGTAATAAAAGTTTAAATTATTAATTTCTTTTAATCCTTTAAAATGCAATTATTTTATTAAGATAAAATTTGATATATGATAAATAAGCATAATAAGATAAAAAAATATGGCATAATAAATATAAATTATAAATAAACTAATATTAGTTACTACTAAGATTGATGTAAAATATTTAGAAAAAGATAAAGAAAAAAGATTAACTTTGTGTTCATCAAATTGGTTGAAAAGATTGAAAAAAAAACAAATTGATGGGAGAGACTAAGAAAATATGAAAAACTGAAAAATAAGGGAGAGAATAATATAATAAATTAATTGATATAAAATATTGAGAAAGATAAAAAAAATTAAAAAGTGGGTAGAAGAAAAATAAAAATTGGTGAAATATAAAAAAATAACCTTATATGTAATAGAAAAAGAAAATGAAATACTTTTAAAATATTAATATTTTAAAATTTAAATTTAAATATAAAGTCGTGCAGGGACGGGGCGTGGTCGGGGTGGGGATTGCATTATCATCCCCGCCCCGTCCCCAACTTTTTAAAGCGGGGAAAACCCGAACCCGACCCCACCCCCGGTCAACTCGGGATTTCCCCGTCAAACTCAGGACGGGGACGGGTCGGTCCCCACGGGTACGGGTTTAATTGACATCCCTAGTTAAGATATCAATGTCGAATGTGAAAGGTTTTCCTTTTCTAGTCAAAGCTTTGCTAATTGTTTTAGTACTAGCATTTATTGTTTGTTTTAATGTTTGACAGCATTTAGTATTTGTTTCAACATTTGCATAGCATTAATGATTTGTTTTAATGTTCCAATGGCATTTTCTACTTATTTTCGTAGCATTTATTACTATTTGTTTTAATATTTTCATAACACATTGTTTTTTAAAAATATTTTCATGTTTTCTACAAATAAAAGGGAATATCTTACTATTACTACATGAGATGTTAAACTCTTTAAGATGTACTATGTATGAAAATACCCACTTTTCCTTTACTAAAAATCACGTGGGAGGCAGAAGTTGAGGTACAAGGGCACGTGACAGATTCATGGGAAACCCAATGAAGTTCATCTCCTACGTTGTATTGTCCAAGATTAGGTAAAGAGTGGAAAGTAAAAGAGCATGACAGGGGTGCAACATTTAGGTTAACCCGTGTTATACCATGTTTAGGTAGAGTTCCCAGAGGGTGTGTGACACATAGAATAGAATACAAGGTTGTCTGGGGATTGCAGAATCTGCTATGCTTAGGGTTGCGTACCACCACTACCATGTTCTTGCAACGCATGTGTGCCTGCCATTTGAACTCAGAATAATATGAACAAAACATGACGTGAAAGGTTATCTCGTGATTCACGCACCTGTCAGGTGACCTAATATTATTAAATACATTCTTAAATATTTGTTTATCTACTCAACATACCTAATCCATCCTTTGCTGCTGGCTATGAAGTTTCTTGTTTTGGTGAAGACCATGGAAAACTTTATGAAGCTAGCTAAGCTAGGCTATCTACTTGCTTACCAGCACCTATATACTTACCTCAATAAGAGTTAAAGTTATTACAATTTATATATTATTATTATTATTATTATAAGTACATCTTAATATTATAACTAACTTTAAGACACGTTGGATATAAAAAAGAAAGAGAAAAAAATTATTAATTTTTTTTTTCATAATAGGAACAAATGCACACTGTTTGGAATGCGTTGAATTATACGTTCATGAAAGTTACGTTCAAGCTTAAAATATTACAATATTCTTAAAAAAAAAAAACAGTGACAAGAGTGATTGAATTCACTCCACCTTAAAAATATTAAAAAAAAAATGTTCGAAATAAATTGCATGTGATTCTGATCCTGACGTATGATTGAAACATATAACCATACATTTACTTCTTCTTCTTTTTTGGTCAAACATGTTTAGAGAGTTTTTTTTTTTTTTTTTTCTCGTGATAGCATAATTTTCGGCTTTATATATTGTGGACGAGTGAATGGAGAAATGGGCTTTTCAGCCTTTGGGCTTTGTTGGATTACATTTGTAAATGGGCTTTTAAGGGCTTTTTAGCTTAATTTCATGAATTAAAATTTGTAGCTGGAGAACTAAAAGTAAATAACTCTAAATTATTAGCATTTTCTTACAAGAAAAAGAAAATTTATATTGCAACATTTACGAAATACATGCATTTTAGCATTATGTAAACAGAATTCCAACCAATAATTTAAATTGATTCGACATAAATTAAGTTTATGGGATATTTTTAAACCCAAATCACCCTCTTTTCTTGAATTTTATCATTAAAGGATATATCAAGAAATTAAAAAAAAAGATATATATCAATTACTCTTCACCTTAAATTCTAAGTAGAAGATAATCTATAATACTATTTTAATTTGTTATAACTTACTTATTTATCAAATGCTTTTATTTTCACGACGCAATTTCGTCTGTTATATAATAATGCAAAACGTGTTTCATGTGTGATTACGTACCTATCAATATCTGATTAAATTTGTCATCACAAAAAAATTGTTTATATATTACAAATTTGAATATTATTTAAGTCATTTTTTTTCTTTACATATTCACCAAGTACACTCTATAACTACCATTCAGACCTACTCACAAGTTAACTTCATATATATATAAATATAATTCATTTAAAAATTAAAACAATCTAAGTGGGGGGAAATATTTTGGATGCATATTATAAATTTAGTCATAAAGTTTTCGTTTTTTTTCCTTGATCAAAGACTTTTTGTTATGTTTCAAAGGTCCAAACACTCTGTGTAAAAGAAAAAAAGCAACTTTATAGTGAAGCAAAACTGATAAAGTAATATTTTAGTACGGTAACTAACCTGAATTTCGATATTGTTTGACTTTGATCTAACTTTATTTAAAAAAATATCATTTATCAATTCGAGTTAAGATTTTTTAAAACTCTGAAACAAAATATCGAAATTGGTTTCAGAAATGCGGGTGTGTGTTAGAGAATTTTTATTATTGTGAGAATATGAAAAAAAAATTAACAACCATAAATTAAGATAAAAATAACAATTCATTTCAAAATTTCTTGGTATTTTTTTTGTTTTAATTTTTGTTCGTCATATTTATCTTTTAAGTGTTAATATATATAAATTATCTTTCCATCAATCTTTAAATATTACGAGAAGTTGTTAATCGTTATCAATATTTATTTTTTAAAATATTTTCCATAATATTCTTCAAATATTTAAAGAAATCAATGTAATACTTTAAACTAATTTTAAAAACAAGCATAAATTAGAAGGAAAAAAATTGACTAAATTATATGAAGTGTGAAAATAACTCACTTAATGTTATTTTATAAAAGCTTGGCTTCCATGCCATGTCTAATTAATTAGATTTATAATGGCATGTAATCTGGCATTAATGTGAACATAATGAAGCCATTATTATAGTGTGGCTGACATGTTGTACAATAATGTGTTTTGAGAAATTATGCAGCATCTGTGACGAGTTAGGGTCCAAGAAGGTGGCTCCATGTTGATGATGGATGCACCAATTTTGTCAGAAATGTACAACAGTGACGTGACAATATGGCATTGGCATGGCATCAAACAGAAGTTACTGCTGCCACTGACAGCAAAAATGGCTCTGCATTACAACATGTAACAGTTCTTCCCCTCTGCCATTTCAATTTTCTCCAGAATAATTATTTTTATTTTTTTTTCTACTTTTTGAAAAATAAGTGATTATATTTAAGATCTTCAATTTGCCGGCTTACAAGGAATGAATTTTAATTAGTACTCCATATTTTTCAATCCATGTCTCTCATTTTGATAACATCATATTTTTGTACCAATCAAATCGTGTTGACTCAATCAAATTAGTTGTTTACACATAAAACAATTGTTTACACCACTTTCAGAAAGAATGCTTTCAAGTTATGTGTGTTGGATCAAGTCATTAGTTATATATACATGTCAACCATGACTTACACATTTGAGATTGCAGTAGCTAGATTGATTCTGTGGAGATGAAGTTCACAGTGTCAAATCTATCAAGCTCTATGTTCTTCCTCGTGTTCTTCTTAGCTTTTGTGTCTCATCATGTCCACGGAAACAAGATCGACCATGGAAGCAAAAAACATGTTCCCCTCTTCATTTTTGGCGATTCTTTCTTAGATGCTGGCAACAACAATTACATCAACACTACAGCTCTTGACCAAGCAAATTTCTGGCCCTATGGGGAAACATACTTCAAATTCCCAACAGGGAGGTTCTCTGATGGGCGGTTGATATCAGATTTCATAGGTAAGATTTGGAGATCTCATGCTTCTTGTCTTATTACCAGTGAGAATCAAATTTGGTTGAACCAACATGTTTTTTTGTCCCCCATTAGAATAGTGGTAATTAATTGACTTAATAACACCAAGTCTTATCTTATTATCGTCATCATCATCATCAATCTTTTTGTAGCTGAATATGCAAACCTGCCATTAGTTCCACCATATTTACAACCAGGGAATAGCCAATACTATGGAGGAGTGAATTTTGCGTCTGGTGGAGCTGGTGCTCTTGTTGAAACTTTTGAAGGGTCGGTGAGTCAAGTCCATACCCTATTTGCTTTAACATTTAATGCTACTTTTAAGTATGTGAAAAGGTTAATGACACAGTAACAACGGATAGTAATTGGTAATTAACTTGTCATATGCTTGTTAAGCATCTAGGATGCATAGCTAGGTAACTACGATCACACATGGGAGGGCACTATGATTAGGTTAATTGAGTAAGCAATGCTTTTATGCTTTGCTATATTTATATCATTGTTTTTGTCCACAACCTTCATCTTCTTCTATTTCAAGTGCATCTGTCATACATCAAGTAGAACAGTGATTGGAACAGGCACTAGAGAAATCGTTTTTACCTTTTTCACTTTAAAACACACAATTTGCCGACATATGACATGACATGGCCCTAAGAAGCCCTCACCTCACGGGCAAACGAAGACAAACCTTGACCTATCATTTCGTATGAGATCAGAATCTTCTTTCATTAAAAAGAAGAAAAAACTTACGTGAAAAAGTAATACTTCTTTGTATGATAAAATTTTTTACTGACATATGTGACTGAGAGTGAGTGCGTGTCTGGTTTGAATGATGTTTCAAATAAAACACAGTATTGAAATAAATGTAAGTATAGAAACTGATAACAATGCCCTGAACACAGTTTATTTGTCACTCCAAACTTTCAGGTAATACCCCTCAAGGTCCAAGCAAGAAACTACAAGAAAGTAGCAGGTTTTCTGAGGCACAAGTTAGGGAAATCCGAAGCCAAGTTATTGTTGTTAAACGGTGTCTACATGTTTAGCATCGGAGCCAATGATTACCTTAGCCCGTTCTTGACACATTCTGATGTTCTTAAGGCATACTCTCATTCACAATATGTTGCTATGGTTGTTCGAAACATGACTTCCATTATCAAGGTACAAATTTTCCATCATCTACTTTTATGTTTTAATTTATCAATAATGCTTGATGCTTTCATAGATTGAGGCACATGGTGCGATTCGTAGGAATTGGAACCTGCTTAATTAGTCCTTTTCTTTGTTTCTATTTTCTACTCAGAAAACATAGAAAGAGTCATAGATATAGAATCTCCAAATCTTCGTTTGTTAATCATCTTCATAGGTTAAGATATGATCAGAGAAAATTGTTCCAAACAATGAATTCATATTTGAACTGATAAGAGATACACTGTTCTCAAATTTTAACATCTTTTATTATATATATACTATTCCCTCGTTAATATTTAGCACTTATTTTTATATTTTCTAAATTCGGAAAAAAATAATTACATTTCTTGAAATTTTAACGGTGTTATTAAATTTTAGTTTGGTCAAAAAATGTTTAAACCTAGTCAAATAAACTAAAACAAAAACTAACTTATTTATCTTATCCAAGGTACTTTATATATAACTTAGTCAAAACAAGAGACAACGTGACAGGTACGACTTTTGACCGTAACTTAAGTTTCGGAAAAGCCGCGATAATAATATTACAGTCATAATTATATGTCCATGAAGGTAACTTAAAATAAATATATATTTCAACGACGAAGTTAGGGTTACTTCGTCTTCATAATGGGATAGTTGTCAAATTTTGTTTACTTTCTCTTAGATCTGTTTAATTTAATAAAAAAAATGAAAATATATTATAATTTTAGTTGAATTTTAATTGTGAAATTTCTTGATTAATACAAAATTATTTATCAAATTGTGGTAATTGATTTTGTTTTCAATCCCATGCATTTGACCTAGTGGAAGAAAATAACTGTGTGGTGAATAAATGAGTGGTTTTGTTTGAAAGAAACGTAGAACTACTCACCGGCCATAAAGTAAGACCAAAATTCAAATGTTAGATAATTGTTAATTAGAACACTTTCCTAAGTCCTAGATGAGATGATGTCCCAAGCAAGGGTTAGTGCTGAAAAGAAAAAATAAACTTGTTTTTTAGTTTAGAAGTGAGTTAAAATATTAGATAAAAAAATAAAAATTTGTTCTCATATATAATTACCTTCTTAAATATCCAATAAAGTCGCAAATAAACCATAAATCCAGAACCATTATTTAAATGTAAGTATTATATTATGTTGTGGTGAATGAGATGCATAGTGATGTTTTAAAATGGTGATTGTAGGAAATATACAAGACAGGGGCTAGAAATTTTGTGTTGATGAACTTGGCACCCTTGGGTTGTCTTCCAGGCACTAGAACAATCCATGAACAAGAAAACGGCAAATGCTTAAAGGAAGTTTCAGCCCTTTCAAGTTTACACAATGAGGTTCTACCTGAGGTTCTCTTAAGGTTGGAGAAGAAATTGAAGGGCTTCAAATTTGCACTCTATGATTTCAGCACTGATCTCACTCAAATGATGAACCATCCCTTGGAACATGGTAAGTCTTTGGTTGTGGATTTAGAAGTGATTTTGCAAATGAACAATGGGAAAGTGTGGTCATGTTTACGATGATGCATCAGGTTTGAAGGAGGGGAAATCAGCATGCTGTGGAAGTGGAGCACTGCGAGGAGAGTATAGCTGTGGAGGGAAAAGAGGGGTGAAGGAATTTGAATTGTGTAAGAAACCCAATGAGTATTTGTTTTGGGACTCTTATCATCTCACAGAAAGTGCTTACAGAAAAATTGCAGATCGAATGTGGGGTTTTACCAACACCTCTTACAATATAGGGCCTTTCACTGTCAGAGACCTCTTCCACCTTCCATGATTTCGTTCATTCTTCATTGTTTTTGCTTTCTTCCAACCAACATAACATTATGTATTCCATTGTGTTAATCAAGTGTAGCAGTAATATTTGATGTAGGTACATGGTGTCAAATGGGTCAACCACTCCCATTTTATATTTGGTCAACAAATTAACATATCAATCTTAACTTATTTAAAAATTTAAAAATATATTAATATCTTTATAATAAATAATTAATTCAAAAATATTTTAATATAAATTAAAAATAAAAATATATTTTTAAAATTTAAATTATATTAATAAAATTAAATTTTGTATAAGATATAATAATTTAATATATAAATTATAAGATAATAAATTTATTTAATATCAAAATAAAAGTTAAAAATTTAATCTTAAGATTACTTATTTTTTTAATTAATAAATTTTAAAACAAGTGATTATTTAATAAATTTATTTTAACATTTGATTGAATTGAAGGGAGTATTAAGAAGGTTAAAACTCGACGTCCAAAAGCTGGAACCGTAGTTATGTGATTCAAAGTACGAGTCTTTTACGACTCTTAAGTTTCTTGAAAGAAAAATGAGAAACCTCAAAGGCTCTCACAAGAGACAAAGGAACCCGTCGATTTTTATGGGTTCAGAAAATTAATGTTTGGGCCGTAATAGTTTGGGCAATGACTAGTCTACAGAATGTATCATGACAAGTTTGGCCCAAATCAGTGTAATTTATTTTCCCTTCAGATGTGGTTCTGGTTTGTATGATTAAACTGGTATAAGATGCAAGAACATTTTTAAATTTAAGAAACAATGAGAATTAAAACTAAGATATGCATATAAATAAATCATCGTTGGCATCATTAAATAATAATAATAATAATAATAAAATCATGTTATCTTCATAAAAAAAAAAGCGTGAATCGAGATTGATTAAGTTATAAGGAATGATAGTTTTAAAACATTGAAATACCATGAACTTTAATTTGGTTGTACTTAAAAAAAAATTACTGGTTTTATAAAAAATGGTAAGTAAATTGATGTCTTTTATATTAAAATTTGATATTCATGTAAAAAGTTTTATATATAGTTTGGCCCAGAAAGCGTTGTGGTTATAACTTACAAGCATCACAAAAGAACAGAAGAAGAAAATTAAGCGTGACAAGAAACCCCCCCCCATAAATGGGACGAGTAAAAGCAACGTGAATCACATTACACAAGTCACTTTCCCCATCTATCTCTCTAGATATACTTATCCTCAATTTTCTTTTATTTTAATTTTTTTTGTTCTATTTTCAATCATAGATCTAATAATTAGGATCACACATACATCAATGGGACCATTTTAATGTAAACACTCTTCTTAAATTTGATGGAAACAAAAATTAATATATAAAAGGGTATGATCAGTTTATTGCCATATCTCTATAACATAACTTGAAAGCTCTAATAACACCGTATTAATTAAATAGAGATAGTTTATTATGCCATTCTGCAGTTCATGTGTTGAAAGGCTCTTTGAGTACGTCATGAAGTTGGGCAAAGTTATTAAAGATAATATTTTAAAAAAAGAAGAAGAAAGAATCAATTATATGGACTTAGTATTCCACCCTCAAGTAGCAAATTCTTTGAAAAAAACAAAGTACTAATTTGTTGGTATATATAATGTAACAAGTACATAGCTAGGGTTTTGGCTATTTGCCAATTGGGATAAGATGGGCCACTCATATTTGTAGTTAAGAAATTAATTTCACTTATCATAATCTAATCATACGTAATTAATAGGGTTTTGTAATATCATAATAATTCTATTAGGAAATTGTATAATCACAAAAATTATAATCTTCATTTTATTGAGTGGATTTTTTAAGGAGATTTATTAATATGTTACTGTTTTTAATTGAAATGAATTTATACGTAGTTTAATGGGAATTTTTCATTGAAAACATTTTGTGATGTTAATGTAAGAATGATAGAGGAATAGATGGTGGTGGAAAAGTATGTGAGTGGTGATGGATGAATTGAATCCTGTTTTGTTTGTATTGAATAGTAGTACTGTTAATAATTGAATCCATAATTGATAATGTTACTCTTCACTCTCATCTGAAAAAGAAGAATGGATGATGGAGCAGTGGTCAATTATTGGATGAAAAGAATGAATAAAAAGCTTGGTTTTGACATGTTACGCCCTCAATTATTGCCTCCATCCTGCAGAGTATACGTTGAATTAGGGTCATGTCAAACGTGGACATAGTCACCTGAACTTGAAGATGCCAAACCCTAACCAGACCAACGTGAACGCCATCTCATACATACCCACTCCCCACAATCAACTTTTATTTACCTTCCCGAATCCACACTACAAGACAAAAATATTATTAAAAAACAAACATAAATATAACTTTTATCACATTCCTATCCCTGTTATTCACATGAATGCATTGGAGTATACCGTTTTCACAAACATTGGGCACACACTGGTTTTGTTTTTTCTCCTTTTACCTTCAAAATTAAGCATGATTCATATTTTAAACTAGTTTTTTTAAAAGTAAACTCTTCTAGACACTACCGTTATTTTATACACAGTGATGTAACATGTTTGGCATAGAAGCATATTACGAATGCAATATAAAAGTAGTGTTTCTTTTGAAATGATTGCTTATTTTAAACACACATGTTATATATTTAAGTATTAAAGTATTCATTTTCATGCACATAGAACCATCCATGACTGATAAAATATTTTTTCTTTTTATCCACATTTTATACGTTCAACCTATTTCTATAAATTCTATTTAATTTTTTAAGTCGTTTGTTGTTGAGTATGATCAAATTTTATATGAAACTTGATCCACATATCTGCGTTTTTCTCTTAAATTAACTTGTTTTTTAATATCTGTATATATAAAGATATTATAATTTAAAGAAAAATAGTCATTGTAATTTATATATTTAAAAATAATAAAATATATAAGAATTATTATTTTTGTGATGAATTTCTTATTTGAAAGATGCGTATAGGTGATATAATACAAAGTTTGCATCATGAAAATAATTAAGAAGATGGGACCGCACGCGCTTGTGGGGCGAGTGGGGGAAAAGGAAGGGGATAAGAATCAGAGAAAAAACACGTGGCGTTGATGGTCGGGTGAAGAGGTTAACATCACGTGGTTTAAGATGAGATGTCGATGTAATGCCACGTCATAATACCAGCTGTCGCCAGTTTCGCTGAAAGATGTGGCCAGGTTTATTAAAAGGCCACCCCAACCCACGAGACTCGTGTTCTCTTTCTTCCATCATCATGCATCTTATCTCAATAAATAGTTAAAATATATATCCATATTTAAAATTAAAAAAAAAACTTTCAAAATTATACAGATTATTATTTTTATTAGAGATTCTAGTTCAACATTTTACCGAAATCTATTTCTCTAATTATATGTTTTTAGACTGGAATGTTTTGATTCGAGGTTTGAGTATGTTTTACTTATACTAATTATATGTCCATATATTTTATTTATTGATAAATTTTTATTTTAATATTATTAAAATAATTTGTGTAATTTTCTTGTAATATTGAAACATTGACACCCTTCATCTACATTGCAATAGATTGAACGAAAAATGCTTAAAGGTGTGTTTTTTAGGGAAATTTAAATTTTAGTGCAGCCAACAACTGAAGAAGAAAAACAGAACAAAATTTTAGGGAAAGATTCATTTCCTAAACAAACATAGTTTAGTGGAAATGTTGAATGTTGAAAGGAGAAAATTTTATGAAAAATTTATTAGGCACGTTTTTTGCATACCTACCAATTACCAACCAATGCTAATTATTGTGTGAAAATGATAAATCATTTAGCTTATACCCTAAGTCTTGTCGTTCACACCTTCCCAAGTCAAATGTTCTTTGAAAAAGAATCTCACAGCCCAAAAGAATATATATATATATATATATATATATATATATATATATATATATATATATATATATATATATAAATTATTGTTGATTATATATGCAATTATTTTTAACGATCTTTGAAAACGATGAGTTTTAAATCTCGCATTATTTATCTATATTAAAATGTTATATAAAAAATAATATTTTTATGTATTGCATTGGGTTTTTTTTTCTTAGATAAACGAGTATAGAAAATATATGGATATGTTATTGTATATACATCTTATTATAGGTGATACTAATTTTTTAAATCTAAAATATAAATTTGTATATACATCACAAAACTCTTCTATAAGATATAATGCAACATCTAATGAAATACGAAAACGTTAATATAATTATTATATTATTATTTATTTAAAATGGAATTTTATAGTTTTATATTTATAATATTAAAATATATTCTATTTTTATGTAGGAAAGAAGCTCGAAAATCTACTTAAAACAACTGTAAAATAAAATGAACTACTGGCACAAAATCAATTATACAAGACACATTTTAAAGGGTTATATTTTCTGTAGTGTTTTATTGAGTATTTTTTATTTTATAAACATTGCTACATTATATAATTATATGACTTAGTATTGATATAGAAGTTGATATACTTTTTCTAATTATGGTCAATTGAATGGTAGAAGTTCATAGTTTTATTATTATTATTGTTATTTATTTATTTATCTGGATTGAACTAAAATACGATGTTACTTTTTAGGTTGTCAAAATGAAACATCAATTTTCAATATCTGGTTTGTTGTTATAATTTAAGGTTGTTGAAGGTTGCATTTTTGTGTTTATGTAATTTGTTTTTATAAGTATATATGGCATGTGGTATTCTTCATGAAAAATGTTTTTTTCTAATTCATTTCTCAAGTAGATAATGTATTATTTTTATTATTTAATATGTGTTTAAATTATTATTGTTTTTTTATAGAAAGAATATTTATTATTATGTTTTAATTTGTATTGGATGTTATGAGTTATTTACATTTTAATTTATTATTGTGCTTACTTTTAGTTATATTCATTTAACATTAAACAACAAAAATTAAAGTATTAATTAAAA